CAAGTTTCCCCCGTAATGGGTGGAGACCTCAACCCCCCCCAATGTTCCAGCCAAAGTTACGCCCTTGAGTGCAGGGAGGCGGGGGGGGGGGGGGGAGAAGTCTGTGGATTGAGGAGTTGAACGGTCCTTGGAACAAAGGTGGGTCTCCTGCTCTGCGTCCTGCAGCCGTCGTCCTGAGGGGAGCCACCCAAATTCCGGGGACAGAGCATGGAAGGGTCCTGCAGAATCCTACACGCTGCTCTCAAAGTTTGCTGCTCACTCAGGAATTAAAGTGCTCTGATCGGATGTCCGATGATCTTAGAGCAGACTTTCACTGTGTTGCGCAGGCGGGTCCTGTGCTGCAGGCTGGTGGAGTGATACCAGCAGGCGATGGAAAAGCAGAGGACACTATCACTATTTTTTAATATTTGCAAATTTATTGGTACGCAAGCCGCGGGTCCCGCCCCGGCTTTACGGCCGCCGCGTAAGCAATAGACCGGCTCCCTCTCACCGTGACCTGTGGTTTAAATTAGTTTGTGCAGTCTTTATACTTGAATGTTTCCTTTTTTTGAGAAAATGTTCTAGACTTGACTTTTTTTTCATAACGTTTTCATAAAAAAAAAAAAAGCTTGTATAGTACATGCAGCTGTGCGTGACTGCAACATCTTAAAGTCATTAAGTGCTTTTGGGAAACTCGAAGATTTGGCAGCAAATAAAGACCCATTAGCAATATGGTGGCCCCATGAACAGGAACAAAATTCAAGCAATCATTCGGACCTGTATGCGTATGGTACAGAAACGTGAAAGAGAACCGCTAACCTTATTTTTTGAAATATAAATAACAGGCATATATAAATAATAACAATATATTATGGTCACGAAATATTTTCTTGTGTTTCGGGGGTTAATGTTTGCCGCCCCATAATGAATTTTGGCTAGATGGCTAGGGTCTGCTAATTTATACAATTTCTTACATATAAATAATAGTCGCCCCTCGCGTAGTCCTAATAGACCTGCGGAGTTTGCTTTGCAAGTGAGAGCCTGGAAAACCGAATCCGCGTGTGCATTTCCCGTCAGGGCCAAATAACAATCAGTAATGAATTATTCATTACTAATCCATATAGGCCTATTTGGGTCGGTATCTGAAATTTTTAAAGCATTTTCTGCTAATTGTGATGTTTTCTAAATTTTACACATGCTTGTCATACACATTACTTTTACTAGCAAAAGTAAAATGGGGGTGGCCAAATAGGGTGGGTGCGTTTTTTTTTTGGTTATGCTGGGCTTAATTTATCAGAGCCTTACTGCATTCTTACCCATCTCGGAGGAAGGATACCACCTTTAAACAATGAATTCATGCGTAAAATACACATTTATTTTTATAGCAATTGTTTCCATAATTATTAATATCATCTTCATATGTTTTAGCCTACAAAAAACGCCCAAATGCATTTCAAAATCTGCAAAACACATGGAGCACAACGACCACAGTCTGGTTTTTGCGGATTTGTCTGCTGTGGAATACAAACAGGTTAGAGATTATATGTGGAAACAGCCTGATTTAAACATTTCCAAGAAAGCAACTGCATCTCCGTCCGAAAACTTTATTTTTCTGATAGATCTCCGCCTTCCAAAGAAATCGGATGTGCTTCGTTATTTGGATATGAACGAAAAGAAGCCTGATAGGGAAGCATCGGTAGTGGTTTTCTATGGTTCTCTTGGAAAGATTGAGGAGTACGTCGTTGGTCCTCTCCCGCAGCCAACATACCGTAAAACTGTAACTTTGCAAAAATACAAAACTCAACCGCCGATCAACGCAAGACCAGTTACGGTCGGGGAATATATGCAACTCTTTGCATTCATTCATAAACAGGTATTTAAAAATCTAACTAAACTGCTCCTAGAAAGTTTTAATGTGTCGAAGGAAAGTATTTTGCATCCATTTGAGGGCATGCCCAGAGGGGTCAAATCTGGTGACAGGCGGACCTGGTTTGCATTCTTCCGAGATTATAGTGGTATGTACATACACCCCGTCGGATTTGAGGTCCTGATTAATCACAGCAACACAAACTGTGAGTATTGGACTGTAGATAAGCTGATGTACAACGGGCAGTATTTTGATACCGTGGAAGAGCTTAAAAACAAGTATGAAGCAGGCAAGATTATTAAGATAGTTTTTACTCCTATAGAAAATTATGCATCCTTGAAACCTAGAGTTAAACCTGCAGAAATAAGCCCTCAGCAGTATTATCCCCAAGGTCAACGCTTTAGTGTACAGAAAAATCAGGTTTTGTACCTAGACTGGAGTTTTGCGTTTGGTCTCAGTTCCCTCACTGGCATGCGAGTGTTTGATGTGCGCTTTAAGGGTGAAAGAATTGCCTACGAGATCAGTGTTCAAGAGGCCATGTCAGTGTACGGCTCCATCACCCCTGGGATGATGCTGACAAAATTCCTGGACTCCAGCATTGGGATCGGTCGGTTTGCCCATGAACTGGTCCGCGGCATTGATTGTCCATATACCGCCACCTATGTAGACACTTACCGCTACATCGATTTCAATGCTGCCCAAAGGTTTCGAAACTCCATCTGCATTTTTGAGCATGACACCGGCCGCCCTCTCAGGAGACACTTTTTCGATTTTTTCCATTACGGTTATGGTGGCATGCCAAACACTGCTCTGGTTTTGAGGACTATCACATCCATAGGCAACTATGATTACCTGTGGGACTTCATTTTCTACCAGAGTGGATCTATTGAAGCTAAAGTACACGCAACTGGTTATATATCGTCTTCTTACTATGTAAAAGGTAATCTGCAGTTTGGCCACCAGGTGGCAAACCACACCATTGGCAATATTCACACTCACTTTGTGAACTTCAAAGTTGACCTGGATGTCTTAGGTAAGATTTGTATTTATTTAAAAAATAGACATTTACTTTTAGCGATTGTTTCTATGCACTGATACAAGTGAGCTCAGAATCATTTCCATTTTGGGTTACTTTAATTCTTTATTACTTGAAACAATCATTTCTTTAATATAATGTTTTAGTATGAGAGGTTGAAATGTAACATAAGTATAGGAAAGATGTAGCGGTGCTTGCTTTGGTCATCATAAAGTATGAAATGGCTGCAGGAATTTAAATTATAAAAGCAATTACTGAAATGTTGCTCAATCGTAGTACTTCGATTTTTAGTGGACAATTGTGTGAAACATTTTATACACATTATACATGTGTTGGAAGAGCTGCATATTTCATAGTATATTGTGTGTTGTCTAAGGGCAAAAGAACATTTTTCAAACAAAAGATATGGAATTTAAGGAAGTGGAGATACCGTGGGTTACTGGGAAAAAAGCGAAGATCCCCCATCTTGTGGAGAAGCTAATAAACACGGAGCAGGATGCTGCCATGCGCTATGACAGAAAAACACCGCGCTACTTGCACATCGCTAGCAACCGCACCAACCGCTGGGGCCACCATCGATCCTACAGGCTTCAGGTGTTCAGCTTCACCGGAGACCACTTACCACAAACTGAGCCAGAGGAGAAGTCCATGTCTTGGGCCAGGTGAGCATGGTGAAGTACCCCTGTATGAACCCAAGTGTCGCATGACCTTGGTTCCGGAAGACCACTATTGATGTCGCTCCTTTGGACACAACAGCCTAATTTATCTAATAAATTATTGTCTAACCAGTCTGTTGTTTATGACGTGAAGCAGAGTTGGGAAACTTTTGGACTGGGGCCCATCAAGATGCGGATTTGCAATCGTTGCTTTCTCTCCATAAGAGAAGTTCTTGCACACCAGTAATGGAATAATATATTTTTGTGGTATTTGCTTGAAAATGGTCATTGACTTTTAACAGCAGACATGTTACAATATAAATCAATATAAATATAAATGTGTACAATAAAAATACTATATGCCATGTAAATCAAATAGGCACTGGTTGCCACACACAGAATGCCCTGTAAACTGCTGCATATTCTAGTAGGAGCTCAGCATCACGCCCTGACAGTTTTGTCATAGCCTGTGTGAAAATGCGTATTCTGTCTTTAGGTACAAAGTGGCTATTACGAAGTACAAAGACGATGAGTTGACGAGCAGCAGCCTATACAGCCAAAATGATATGTGGTCCCCAGCTGTGGACTTCAGCAAATTCATTGAAGATAACGAGAGCATTGTCCAGCAGGTCAGATGTCATGACTCTTGTGCTTTATTCATTTTTAAGTTACTGATTGGATCGTTCTGGGGGCAGGTTACTTCTGGGATTGTATACACACTGTAAGCAGGGCTGTAGGTGGTGCTTACTGTAGGTGATGCTACGTCCAGTGGTTGTTTCGGTTCATTTTATATGGTTCCATAATACAGTAGTTATGTTTATTATTACATTGCCATGTAATTATGACATTAATTTAATTGACTGCCATCTCATTCCCTAACTAGTGCTTTGTGTTTCTCGAGTAAGACTCCAGGCTCATCGTGCCCCAATACTGGATAAGCAATTACAGAAGGATGAGTGATGGTTTGATTTTATTTTGTTTTCCAGGACCTGGTTGCCTGGGTAACCACTGGCTTTCTACATATACCTCATGCAGAGGATATACCCAACACTGTAACCGTTGGCAATGGAGGCGGAGTCATTTTAAGGCCCCATAACTACTTTGATGAAGATCCATCTGTCAATTCTCCGGACGCGGTGTACATCACTCCAAAAGCGGAGCAGAGCTGTGAGACCAACAGGATGGCCTGCTTTGATCAAGGGACATGTAGCCCAACTGTACCTCCTTTTACATATAACGGCTTTGAAGGGTCCTTGCAATTTGAGGAATGAAGTCCTGTTGAAGGCTGATACAGTAGGTTCCGTCCAGAAGTAGAAAAAAATACTAATTTGCAGCTTATTACACACACAGGCTGCAGAGAGAAAATTTAGCTATATTACTTATTACTAATACAAAATACACTATTTTCTACATAAACACAATTTTTTGACAAAGTGATTTTATTGATTTAAAATTTTGAGAAAAATTTAAATATGTAGCTTGTTAGCACGTGGGGAATTTAATATAACAAATGAATAATTACTTCACACACCATCTGTTTTGACCTTTCATGAAGACTCCAGATAGCTGATAATTTTAGATTGTTAGAAGAAGGGCTGCACGATTTATCGATTTCAAATCAACGCGATTAGCAAGCCTCAAAAATCGCGATTTAGGATATACATTATACAGCACGTCGGACTCAGGGTTTAAAACTGCTGTGAGAATACTTTTACAAATTTATGCCGTGCTCCCTGTGTGACAGTCATTCTCACCAATCACAAGTGCCGTGCTTCTCGCGTGACAGTCATGCTCACCAATCAGCCCAAGAAGGCGTATAGGCCCACAAACAGCAAACACGTGAAACCCAAGGAAAATGTTACATTCGCGGTGCGGAAAAATACTGATTCTGCTACTGAGCTATAAGTGAATTGCCTTCCTATTTCATGGTCCGAGATTGTTTCAGGAAGGTCCTATCATCAATAGAACCGGCGAGCTCCTTTTAAACACCAGCTGCAATATACTTCAGCGTATCATACCTTTGTTTTTTGTTAATAGGCAGTAGCATTAGTATACCGCTAACCCATCAAAACAACGAGACAGTCAGTAAAGATCTCACAGCAGCGGAATCAGTGACCTCCAAAAAAGACGTAAAACCCACAATACAGTCGTGTTTATATCATATGTTTTTGTGCTTATTAAATGTAAGTGTTTCCAAAGATTAATCCCACAACAGTAATAAAATAAAAGTCTTGCTTTAACATAAATACTAAAAGAATAGATTGCTTTAATCGCTATTACACTTGGGTATGGGCACGCCGTCTTATTTAGAAAACATACAAAAAGAGACGCATATAATGTTTAATCATTCGTTTTGTATTTGTCCGATTAACAAAGCAAAGGAATGATAATTAAGCTGCTTCAGTCGAAAACTGCATTTTAGTTTCACTTGAATTGATTTGTATCAGTGCTTGAAGTGGGAAAAAAGAAGTGCAGGAACTCTAATTTTCTCGGGCCACTGTCGCTGCGTCGGATCAGTTACAGTAAGTACCGGAACGCAGAAAAAAGTGGCGGAACCCAAAAGACGAAAATACAAAAGTTCCGGAACTGCGTTCCGCTGCGTTCCTGCCCACGTCAAGCACTGATTTGTATAAAAAATAACGTATACAGTTGTTAAAAAGCGGAAACTTCGACCAACATGAAATCACCAATAAACGACTAATTCTATTTATTCATCATTTTATAAAATGCATACTATGTTTAAAAATTTCCAGCTTTACGGTTTCAGGACAGAACAGCCACTCTGTTATGAACATTACGGTTTTTTGAGTGTTATTAGTGTTAATAACACCAGCTAACAACACAATAGCGCAAACAAAAGGGCTGCATACACCGAAGTAGTTCTTGCTTATTCATTGGCGTGGGAAAAGGCGGTTCTAGTGTTATTAGGAGGGTAATAAGCGTTACCTGCAAGATCGCTATTTTTCTTTTTGCTGCAATTGTTTTCATTATTACTTTATTTAACTTGACACATCACATCTTTTAATTCTCATCCTTGCATTATAATATAGACCAGTTAATACTGATGGTATCTCATGCTGCGTCATATGTTTTAAAATTACTACACACTTAATATTGAAATGAAGCTTGACATAAAAAAATAAATAAATCGCAAATCAAATCGTAATCGCGATTCGATATTTTCCCCAAATCGTGCAGCCCTAGTTAGAAGTGTTGCCTTCTGACACACATATGGTCAGTTGTTAGAGTGGAGCACCAGCTTTCTGGTTAAATATAATAAAGTTTTAGCTCTGTTGCTGATCAGCTGCTTAAGGTTGAATGCAAGGATATAAGAAGGAAGATACAAGGATGTACTCAACTGAGATGTTTGTAATTATCCCCATGGTACTTACACGAACCATATGAACCTACTGTCCCCAGCAGTTTTTTTTAAAAGATCAAGTAATGGATTCTGGAAATGCATCCTTCATAGTTTCTTTGCAAATATTATATAATCTGTGTAAGACTGGTGCATTGCAGGTTAGCAAAGAGAATCATGAGACATGGGGAAGGGGTGAAGGAGTATGGACTTTGAGTTGTATGGGGAGGTTTTACAGAAGCACTGAGGAGAACAACAACAGGGGAAAAAACAGCTGTTTCAGCATCTGCAGGAAGTGAAGAGAAAACAATACAGGCATCAGGTTACAGAACGGGCTGCGCCAGGGTGTGGGGTCAGGCATCACAGTCTGGGTGAAAACATTTAAGGTTACATTTATATTGTTTAGCAAAGTGACATAAAAGTGAGGTAAAAGCACATTACAAATATATGTGCTGTCAAGGAGGCAACTTAGAATAAGGGGTGGTATGGTGAGCTGACAATGAATGCCCAGTTACAAGTGTAATCAGGATTGGAGAAGGAGCCCAACAAAGCAAAAACCAACAAAGCCAGAACCTAAGAAGACTACTATTCAATCACCAGAAAGTGCAGCATTAAGAAGTCATTTCTATATGTTGATAATAAGACACTAAGGGAGTGAACAAGCATGTGCATCTTCACCTCCTTTACCCCCCGTCATGCAATGTATGTAGTACAATGTAAGATAAAAAGGTAGTAAGGTAGACTTTTGGAAATCCTCCTCCAAAAACAGTGGAAAGTATAATCTGCTGAGCAGACCGTCGGAACAGACACTGGGTTTTACTCAGGTATATGATATCACCACCACAACCCACATCTGCATATGGGTTTTATTGAATGTTTTGTGCAGGGTTCTCGGTGACCTGAACTGGATCTGTAAACATATTAAGTTTTACAACCATGGATAAATTACAAAAAAACCAAGACTACTGCCTGTTACTTGCTTCAGATAAACATAATTGCTAAGCAACAATTGCCAATGAAATAAACAACACAAAGTTACACTGGAGGTTGATTGCATTTTTGATGGAATGCTGTATGATATTGCTATTGTTAACAGTATAGTGAATATTCACATTTTTTTTCTGACAGGGAGAAAATTACAATGGACAATACAGCTGAGAACTATATTATTAAAGTGAAAATACCTGTACAAATCTTAAATACAGAGAAGTTCAGAATTGACAGTTATACCAATGTGTCTGTAGCATTTTAAACAATTCCTCCCTTTATTTGTGGTCTCTGTGGTGCTGCTTTGGGAAGGATTTCTACTTAAATCTCTTAATTTTAGTCTACTGTTTCGATATCAGAGCAAAAAATATTCTTTAGTGATATTGCCCTGCCAACCTCCCCTGTCTGTGACTATGACAGTGACACTAATGTGTAGTTAAGATAGAATCCGAAAAAAACAGGAACCTAGGGGGAAAAAGCAAAACAAGCAGATTAATATTTAACACTTACTTTTCGTCATCAAGTCAGTAGCAGCCTTGAAAGTTTCTGGGAACAAAAAAAACTGAAACTAGGAAAACATCAGGAAAGGAAAAAAATGCTGGCTCTCTTCCAGGAAAAAACTGATTCATGCCTGAAAAAATATCTTTGTGTTTACAGGAAAAAACAGTCTCAGTGAACTTCTCTACTCCCCTCATTATACGTATACAACATATACAGTTGTGTTAACAAAATCACCATCATTTGTATCACATTAAAATATATTTCAGATGTATACTTCTCACTGAGATCAATTCATGCAATCTGTGTACACACATTGTCTGATTTCCCTATCACACATCTAAGTCAAGCACTTTCATGTGTTCCACTGCAGTTTTATGAAAAATATTCAACATTGAGGGTGTGGTAACAGTTCAAACACAAGGGATTATGATACGAAAGCAACTTATGAAATCAGCTTCAATGGAAGAGGCAGCACATAACATTTGGAAGCAGTATTTTAGCCACTCCTCTCCGTTGTTATGGCGTAAGCCCTGAATACGTCACTGTAGAAAAGAGGCTAATTAGATGAATATATAAGGAAACGCCATGGATTGCTGCAGTAGAAACCGTCAAGACTAGTAACAGTAGTAGCTTACAACTGACACCAAACTCTTTCACTTTATGAGTCTCCAATAGTACCGAACTAAAGCGTTCACGATTTATTAATAAATAACAGTTTCGTAGACCTAACGTGCTAGGATTTGAGAGAGCCCAGCTTCTGGATGTCCAAACACAAGTCACATTTTATTGATCCCAGGGGGAAATTCGTGAATAATAACATGTCTAATCCAGATGGAACCCGAGCCCCTCCGCCGCAGAGGCTGATGTCTTAAGCTCTAGGCCCTGAAGTCCCTTTTGAGGTTAACTGACTTCTCCACCAGCCACATTACCTATTACCCATACAACATTTAAGATATCATCCTTTCACTACTCTGTCCCAGACAGAAAAGAACCCCAGTTATAGGTAATTTAATGTCTTTTAAGAGCAATTTTGCGTTCTGGGTTGCAGGCTAACACTGTAGCCTCAGTTTTCCTCGTATCAATCTCTCCCTCTAGCTCTGAGTATGCAATATTTGCATGAGTTTTCTCCAGGTACTGAAATGTCCCCCTGCTCTCCAAAAACACTGTTTATGTGAATTGGTCTAAATCATTCACAGTGTGTCACTGTGTGCATTAGTGTGCTTCCTGTCTCATGTCTTGAATTTCCCAAGATAAGTGGATCAGCAGTTATGAATGAATGGAAGAGTAGTTTTCCTTCACTGCTTATAATATGATTCAGCTAAATTGTTTCTTACAATGATATTGCAGGCTCTTTGATAACTCCCCCAGTAACGCTATTAATGCAAGGTTCAGAGATAAAGAGCAATGCTGCTGTGATTCTGTTTACCTTAGCATTGTCTTGCTTTTATGTGCTTATGTAAGTCACTCGCTGCATCAGGCTCAGCCTCTGGCTTCACTGTAACTGCACCGTGCTTCCCCTGATCAGCACCATTTGCTTTGCACGTCCTTACATTTGAGTGCTTTTAAGGTTTCTCTACATAATCAATTTTTAGATGTGGACACAACGGAGGTGCCGCTGTGTGGAATTTGATGGGTTACTTGGAGTCATGTGACCCACGGCACACAGTCGCCCTCCCTCACATCCAAGTACAGAACATACAGTCTATGCCCTCAGCTCAGAGGTCAGAAGAATAACTTTTGCCCGAGGCTGTCAGGGAACAAATCATGCACTTCACGTGAACAGATTACTGTCAAACCAGAGAGATAGAGAAGAGGACAACAAAGGTTCCACTTCTGTCATTTGTAGCAGACTTGCAACATCAAGTTGATGGACAGGGCTTCGAAGAGGGTGTATTTCTTAAGCATAGCCCACCAAAATCAAGCTGCCTCTAGTTAGTTGCCACCTTTTCAACACTGGGCCAGCATATCCGAAGCATAACACAATTCATTGTGTGACTACTACAAGCCATTGTAACTGGACCAGCAAATCATGTTTAACCAGTATTTCATGACACAACCATGTTTGAGTCCAAAGAATTACCAGATTATGAGGTATTATTTATAAAGCGTCAAGATTTATTTATTTTTGATTTGTGAAATAAAAAGTTAATCCAAAAATAACATTTTGAGTAAACAAAAATTTTAAGTCAATTTTCTTCTTCTGAATGTTGTAGTTATGAGGGACGTTTTAAACAGGTACAGTGAGATCACAAACACGCATGATGGGGTGTTTACAAGATTCAAAACCCTGGAGGGCATGTTACTGGGGAGATGTGCTGCCCATGTGCAAACAAACTGAACTCACTCCTTTGAATACCATGACCTCAACTTTCCCAGTAAGTTCTGAAGCAGCCAGCAGGAGCATCTACAACCTTAACTGGAAATATAGCTGAAGGCACTCAGTCCACAACCATCATTAACCTCTTGGAGTCTTTGTCTGGGCAGTCTTGAAAAGAAGAACCTAAGTATAAAGACTACCTAATTGTCAGTGACAGCAGACTGAGATTTTTATCCTTGGAAGCTAGCCTCCATAATCCACCTGAGGACTAACATGTTTCGTCATTGTCATAAGTTCCTCTGAACATTTTTGCTTAGGAAGAGGACTGAGAGGCAGCCTGGCACCAGGGCAGCAGTGATGAAGGGTGCGGCAGCACTCTTACAGAAGGACAACAGGTAGAACAAAATATTACTCTTAGAAGGGAGGCTAACTGTATCCAGCAGCTGCAAAAGCAGCAGTGAGAATATGATACAGCCCAGCCTGAAGGAGGCGCTCTTGATTTCCTTCTTCTGCTCGCACAGCGGAGAGTGCAGGCCCAAACCGAGGCCAAACAAGGTGCCCATGTTGCGCATTAGGCTGGCGAAGGGCGTCGTGTCCATGTGGACCCATTCGGGCCGGATGCACCACCGCTTTGCTTTATCCAGAGTCCAGAGCAGGTCGACTCCGAGTGCCTTCAGCAGCACATAGAAACCCAGGGCGAAGGTCAGCAGAAAGAGGGTGACATACAGGTACTTCTTCAGACTGGCACTGTAGATCCACTGCACTCGGTTGAAAACCTCAGCCACGATCATACCTGTCATTGAAAGAAGAAAAGCCTCATTATTTCTCAGTCATTTGGGGATTCTTTGAAAAAAAAAAATCAAAGCACTTACATCACATGAGTATATTTGCCATTTGTGATGTAACCAGTTTTGTAGCATCATCCTGTTTGAATGAAGGTAACTGAGGAAACTAAAGTGTATGTGGGTCCCCGGAAGGGCACTTCATTGGCACTGACTGACCTGCAATGACCCCAGTGATGACCTGATGTGGGAAGTGGGCGGCCACATACACCCGGGACATGCACACAAGGAGGATGACTATAGCCAGCACCATCCAGAGCCCCAGGCGTACGACCCTGGGGGGGAGGGTTAATTACAACACCTGTGTTACCTTATGTACTTAGTAGGGCTGGGAAATTTAACGCGTTAATGCACTGTCAATATTAAAGTCATTGTGCCTTATTTCTTTGATGGCATTAACACATGCAGTATTTTGATATCCAAATGTGAGAATAGTATCAGCAAACATTTTAAATAGACACCTATAATATTCCTTCCAGTTGTAAACAACACAAGCGTTTAGGTCGTGACATTGCACAGAATCCCCGAATTCAGGGCTAAAATCACGGGGAAGCTTATGTTATCTGATTTATTTAATTTTGAAAAATTGCCAGACAGAGGCATACATAGGATAAAAATATCGTAATTTGCAGGATTTGTTTTATTTTATTGAAGCCTTATACCTCAAAATCGTAAGATATTTCATGTTATTGGGTGCACTTTCAGTGGTTGTCAGGTTTCTGTTTTTAGAGCTGTTTGCCAAATAGGTTTTAGATTTATCAATAGATTGATCACGCAGTTGGAATTAAATAGTCTGTCAATTCACCTGTTGAGTACCTGAGATTATATGTGGTTAAATGCCATTAATCAACAAGGTGTGCATTTAAAAAAACCCTCTAGCATTCCTACTTATAATACAATGCGCTTTCTTGTCTTGTCATCTGTGCATCTAGAAAGTTTGAAAACCTTGAAATTCAGCTTGTATTTGACTGCAATTTTTGTTGGAAATAATCTGTACATCACAACGTTAAGCTTGTAGAAAAAATGGGTAATTCTCACAAACACAATTTTTTTGGGAAAAAAAAACTAGAATACAATTTTTGTTTTTTTGTGTAGAGCTTTTGTGACATTACCTAAACCTTTTAAGTATATTAAAAATTGTCATTTGTTGCTTTGATTTGATTATTTTAAAATTATTTTCTGCAAATAGGTAGTGAAAAGTTTTTTAAATCTTTCAACTTAACTGCATGTAAACCATAATAAATAATCAATTTATATGATCAAATGTGTATTTTTGTTTAAGTTAAAGTTTTTGGTTAGTTTAGTTGATTTAGTTTATTTTTGTTTTCATCTTGGTAATTCTTGCCCTATATTTGATGAAATAGTTCTGTTTATTACAGAAATAAATGGTAATATATCAACACTACCCCAGAGGCAAAATCGACAGTTTGAACAATAAAGTTGTATAATTTGAGTTTGTCTTCAAATTAGTTTAAAAAAAAAAAACAGAGAACATTGTTATGTTAAGGTAATGCGTTTGTGAGAATTACCCATCTCCCCTTTGTCTTAATTCTACATTAATTTAGTGATTTGATGCATAAATATTTATGATGTTTTAGGTGCTATTAACCGCGATTAATCACAGAAAACCATTTGAGTTAATTATTATTTTTATAAAACTGATTCACAGCCCTAGTATGTAGCTTCCATCACTCTGACTCACCAGCTGAAAAGAGCAGAGTGCGTTCTCTCTGTATTTGCTGCAAGGACAGCTGTCACCATGACATGCCACACTCCTGCCAAGCCCATGGCATGACCAGATGGGCTTCCTGTGGAAACCGGCAACCTCTGCTTAAGCAGATCCTGGTATTTAAAACTGGCAGTGCAACCATCCTTACCTACGCATAACTGTAATATCAAAAGATATGCTTTAAACTCTCAAGTGCCAAATTCCTCAGGAAAACTAAAAGTGCAAAAGCAAAGGTTGGAACAATCAGTCTGTTGGAGTAGCTGTCAAAGCCGGAACCACTAATAGTGGCTTCTGAAATACCTGGCCCAGTTTCACAGGTGATGGGGAATTGCTGCAAGACAGGAGGTGGTGCAGAACCATAGAACTGGGTCTCATGGACCCACCAATATGGTCTCTCCCCAAAGAGAACCCTGTTGTGGACAAAAAGAGTGTAATTTAATCTGGGTTCTGTGAAAATACAGATAGAGAATAGGTACCAGCCATGAAATGTGCACACGTTTTGGATGCCATCCAAATATATGCATGACAATATGCAGATATAACACAAAATGAACATTGTACACAGCACAGCATATAACCAGATTCAAATTGTTTTCTTAAATTTCAGTACAACACTAGTTTCATTTTACATCATTTGAGTAAATTATTATTATTCAATTCAAAATAAATATCATAAGTTTGTTTATATCAGCTTCTATGATGACATTTACATCCATTTCCGTGGTTACTTTCTTCTTACTCGTTCCAGTTTAAATAACTGCTTATTCAGTGCATGGTCTAGGTTTTGGTTTTGCCTAGAGCCTAACCTGAGAAGTACTGGGCAGAGTCTCTCTGCACCAGGGAGGACATGCAGATTTCATGCACAAACCAAGCTGTGGGACTCAAACCCACAAACCTAGACACGTGAGACTACCAGAGCTACTCACTGAGTCACTGTACCACCCTACATCTTTACTAACTGATCATGCATTTATTTGAATGTGTGATTCCAGCACTTACACACAAAAATCTATAAAATGAAATGCAAACAACAAATCACAAAAGCACTGCAAGCACTGAAAACACTGGAAAGAGATGCCTCTGGCTCACTGCACTTACCATTTGAAGACCAGGTTAAGCCAGTCCCCGACCACAGCTACCCATATTAGATTGATGCCCACTTTCTGATGTAAGTGGAACCAAACAGGAAAGAAGATAAAGATGGGTGTGTGCAGGTCTGCCAGTGAAGATGCCAGGTGGAACACGCTTTCATAATTTCGGTAGTTTGCTTGGAGGTAGAGAACCAGGTCCACCCCTATGCCGTGCAGAAGGTCCATGATCTTGACGGTGGTCCTGGAATACAGTCCAGAGGTGGAGACTGGGCTTGAAACTGGGGGTCTGGAGTTGGACTAGGCTGTGTGCCTGTCTGCATTCCCAGCTTTGCTCTCCGTTCTCTCCCTCGTGGACTTTATACAAGGACGACAAATTTGTTTGTTTGCTACAGACTCTCAGACAGTCCAGCTCTGCTGACCTATATAAATGTGACCTAACGGTAGGTGACCAAGATGTTATCCACTACTGTGCTTGACTTCACCACTGAGGGACTTTTACCCCAGGAATCAATTTATTTTGAGAATAGGACCCCCCCCCCTGTTTCAAGTGGCTCACAGGTAAGCTAGGAACTGAAAACAGAGACATATGCATATTTAGATGGGCAATTTATATGTTAAAATTAAACCATGATTAAAATACTCCTTTATAATTTCTCAGGAGGAATAAAAGCCCCACTAATGGAAGTAAGCCCAGGCTAGCACTCAAATCCCAAAGCAAAATAAGCAAGTTTAATAAGTTCAGCCTAAAGTAATAGACGCAGACTGATTACGGGAATGGCTTACCTTCACTGTTATACAAGGACCAGCTCACTGGTTATTAGGTTCACTTACTGACACACACACACACACACACACACACTCCAGACGCGTGATCACAATGAATGGTGAGTTACACTTTATCAATACAAAATGATCACCACACACAGTGTGAGGGAGGGGAGCCGTGAGCGCTGAAGAAAGCCTCTGTCATCTGCTCTAGGGAGTGGGGAAAAAGAAAAGGTAATGGTTACAGCACAAACAGCCTGAAAACCAAAAGAATCCCAAAATTACTCAAATAAGGTCATAACTACAGGAATGCAGGAACACAGAAACCATTACAAATAAAAAAGCAAGGTAAATTCCCGGCTGTACCCCTGAGGCCTGGTGCAGCCCTGTAGCTACGTCAAAGGTGGATTACTCCACCCTGCACTAGCCTGGCAAAAGCTTAACCATGAGTAACAAGTTAATTTTACAAATCGGCAAAGCAACAGTGGTAGATTTATGTCATGTAAATCATGTAAATGTATTAATTCAAGCCCAGCTACAGCTTTGAAAATTGGGGGGTGGGGGCACAGGATTAAGCTGAGGGGGTGGTTGGGCACACTGTCGCGTGCAGCTTGTCAGTATTTCAGACCAGATGGATTGCCTCTGCTCCCCCTCAGAAAACACAGAAATCAGCTTCTACATGAGCTCATTATAGTGACTCAAACTCAGCATAATCACCTTGAGTCCAAGCAAAAAGCCTTGCCGCTAGGATATTTCTCCCATGTCACCGAAAGGATATTGAAAGTCGCTAAATACCAATTTGCGGAAACTTCGAGAGAAATGCCATTGGCCCCAGGGTGGGCTGAGCATATGATTGGAAGAGCCAGGCCTGTCCTGCCCGCCTGCCCCCCCACCATGTAGCCAGACCCATGAATGGGCACTATCTTAGAAGAAAATGCGAAGCTAGCACACAAATATGGTTAGACTCAAAACAAGCAAAAAGTTAACAGGTTAGTCCATTTTTACCTCTGGGTACATTCCACGCAAAAGACAATTATATTATACCTCTTCAACTTGTTGCAGCACAGACCTAATTTAAAACACAGTCATTAAATGTGGATCTACAGCATAAGGAGCTCGATCATTACACCCGGTGGTGAAGAGCTTGGGGTGCTACCGTTAGCATGGGGTGTATTAAAGGTAGACAGCCTTTAGCCACCGGGCAGCTACCTGAGGGTGTGACTGAAAAAGGTAGGGTTACGGCGGCTGGCAAGTTAAAACACAGTTATAGCAGTGACATAACGTTTTGCGTAGGTTGTGTTAGCATGATTAAGGGTGAACCGCCAGTCCACCTTAAGGGCTACTGCACAACAGGGCAACCAGCCCAAAAGTAGGAAATAGCTTTTGGCTGGAGAGGATGACACTCTTTGTTACTAACTGTGTTATTTGCAAAAAAACAACAACACTCTGCATAACAAGTACCACAACACTTGCTCAAAACACAGGTTAATGTATTCAGCACTTGAGAAGACACCAGTCTCAGAGACATTATAGATTTGTTTGTAGTTTGGTATGTTGAAAATAAAAATACACAAGAAGAGTTGTGAAAGGTCTTTTGATCTCTTCACAGAAATCTCCTCATAATTAAACTAAATAAAGAATTAAAACAATAAACCAAGCGTATATTTTTCTGTGCTCGTTGCCCTTTGTTATGTTAATTAGTATGCATGAAAAGCCCACAATGACATGAAATGCATTTGTTATGCAATTGTTTTTATAAAGCTTGGGTTTTTAAAAAAGATGCTTATTATAACAGGAAGTTGGATCTGAGCACAAACACATGCATGCACATGCACACACTTTCCTTTACAGCAGTCAGTCTGTAGAGGCAGTATATCATGGACAATGGGAGTCATACAATCCAGTAGAGAAGGCTGAGGGGTACCAGAGTTAGATGCTGGCATGAGCATGTAGTAGGGAAATCCATGGAGTGGTGCTGGTGTGTTCGGGCCATGGGGAAGTCCAAGGGAGCAGAAGACCAGATCAGGGTCCCCAAATCAGTGCCAGCTTCATCTCTGGTGGGCAGTAAGGTGTGTGGATTTGGGGGGGGGGGCATTATGTCATTCAGGCTGTGGCTTTTCCAGCATCCACTTTCTGGCAGGCTAGTCCAGGGTTAGCTAATCTGCTCAGACCTCCTCTCATTCTGAGGGGCGGAACCCAGATCTGGCTATTCACCAACTCTTCACCTGCTGGCTGTTCTCCATCATGGTTGTATATTAAGAAACATTTATCTTCCATGTATTCATGACTTTGGGCAAATTATTTCATTTTCTTAATACTATTACAAACTGACTTAATTTTTTTTACTGCTTGCCAGTGTGAAAATTTACATCTTTTTTATAAATCCATGGAAGACCAGAAGAGCATTGACCAAACCCTGTGATTTTTTAATGTCAATGTATCGAACCTACACATGAAAAACTCATTGTCTTACTCTTAATTTGTAACGTACGCTCAGACACGACCAGAGTATTATGACTAACAGGATAGCGGATAGTCAGCAATACTATAAGTCATCTGCTCTTCCTCTCTGGACGGGATCGACTCATGCACTTATATGGCATGAATCCGCTCTCTTTAAAAGCACACCAAATCCTCTCAGCGATTCACTTTCAATGCAGAACTAAATAAAACATCATAAGAGTGCATATGGTTAGTGTTAGAGGGAGACCAAGGGAGACAGTAAGGTCAGGGTTTAAAGTATTACTCAGTAAATGAATTATAACAGACTTTGTTTGAATTTTACATCCAGTGTTTGGCTCTCGTTGCAGTTGATGAAATCTGAATGTATTAGAGTGTCCCCAAGCCAAAATCTTTGTGTATGTAAGGCCCAGGGGGAGTATGCTTGATACTACCCATGGTATCTTCTCTACAGTCAATGAGCAGCTTAGTGTGTGGAATAAATGCAGCCTAGCTAGCAGTACCTACCATTCTCATATGATGATAACAATCATAATCATAGAAGCAATTTCTCAGTTCAGCAGAAAGCATCTGATTCATCAATGGAATTTTTTTCCACAAAGTTTTAGTCATTAATCCTTCATGTTTTAAATAAATAGTTTGTAAGGTCCAAGAAGAAATGTAACACTGCAACAATGTACATTAATGCACACCTTTGCTATGACTGTTCTCTATTATCTGTAAAATAAAATCCAGAATAAAGATCAATAATGGCGAATTTGTTATCTAATTGTGGCAATAAGTGATGTTCCAACCTGACAGTTGCTTTGTATTAGGCACATTCATATGAGCAACTGATAAAAGCATCATTTTACAGTTGGATTTGTGGGTTAATAATAAGGAAAAACAGAAAAAAAACATATTTCTGCGATTACAAATGACTTTTACTCTCACTTGACCCAAGGTTATCTGTCAACAAAACCATATGTTGAACAATTTCCAGTGAACTTAGCAGTGTGAGACAACTAACACATATTACACTTGAATGTATATATGATATATGATATATGATTTAGTTTGATTTAGTCACCTATTTTTTGCCCGTTAAAGGGTTAAACAGGTCTGCGGACAGGTCGACTGAAGGTCGATCACCTTCGCATGTGTTTGCGTCGCCTGTCCTTTCGACGTCACATAGTAACTTTTTTGCCCCTGTTGTTTTATGACACACATGCAAGGTCCAAAGATCAAGGCATGTTCATGCGTTTGAGTGGTGGGTCCACAGGTATAAAAACAAGGACCAAAGCGCCACAGCCTCCCAGTGCTGCCTTTCCCTCTACCAGCTTCACTCACCAGTGTAAGTGTGTATTGAAGGAGCGGCTTGAAAAATGAATGCAGCCATGGATGCCATGCATGATTTTGGGGTGAGCACCACGCAGTATCTGCAGACCAACTACCGCGATGCCCAGGGCTGGTTCCTCTTCATCTCCTTTGCGGCCGACCTTAGGAACACCTTCTTCGTCTTCTTCCCCATTTGGTTCCATCTGCGGGAGTCTGTGGGCATTAAGCTCATCTGGGTGGCTGTGGTTGGGGACTGGCTCAATCTGGTCTTCAAGTGGTAAGTCAAAACCTGCTCCAAAGTTCTCCTTTGGTGACCTCTGTGCATAAATTCTTGTGCTACACAATGAAAATGTTGTTAATCAGACCTTATCCAACAGGATCCTCTTCGGCGAACGTCCATATTGGTGGGTCCATGAGACACTTTACTACAGCAATTCCTCTGTGCCACAAATTGAGCAGTTCCCCATGACCTGCGAGACAGGCCCAGGTGAGGATTAAACTTGTCTTCCTTCCTACAGCTATACTGCTTACATTTATGTACATTGATGTTAAATAGGGTTTTACAATCCTATGTAATGGTATATGTTTTAGCATGGTCAATATCCACCAGACATGGAGTTCACTGCTTAGACCTGTCTTTCACCTAACAGGCAGTCCATCTGGTCATGCAATGGGAGCTGCAGGTGTCTACTATGCCATGGTAACCTCCATTCTTGCCATTGTTTTGAAAGAGCAGAATGCCAACTCAAAGTCCAACAGCTGGTAAGACCTCCCACTTATCTCCAGTGGTCTTCTTTTAGTAATTATTCACCAATTATGTTCTCACTAGATGGTTTTATTTTTCATTAACCTGATGGTTACCCAAGAACTAAATATCTTTAGCCTCCCACAATGCTTTTGTTCCATTGTGGCTAATCATAGATCATATCACTGTGAGTTGCTTCTTAATGAAATATTTCTCAGTTCTACTAGTAGAGTTGTAGCAGTTGGCTGTGTCTTCCCAGTGACAGCAGACAGTGATATATGTATATATTCTATAATTCTCAGGTGTATGAGGGGCACGCTGTGGACACTGTTCTGGGGGGTCCAGGTCTGCGTCTGTCTCTCCAGGGTTTTTATAGCTGCACACTTCCCACACCAGGTCATCGCTGGGGTGATCACAGGTTAGTGGAATAAAAATACTCGTGTACAGTGTTAATAAATGATTGTCATACAGTTTGTTTGATTTATAAAGAAATAATAATGCTAAAAATGCTCTCCATCATTAACTTGATGTTGAATCTGCACTCCTGATCACAGGTATGATCGTGGCTGAGGTTTTCAACCGAGTGCAGTGGATCTACAGTGCCAGTCTGAAGAAGTACCTGTATGTCACCCTCTTTCTGCTGACCTTCGCCCTGGGTTTCTATGTGCTGCTGAAGGCACTCGGAGTCGACCTGCTCTGGACTCTGGATAAAGCAAAGCGGTGGTGCATCCGGCCCGAATGGGTCCACATGGACACGACGCCCTTCGCCAGCCTCCTCCGCAACATGGGCACTTTGTTTGGCCTCGGTTTGGGCCTGCACTCTCCTCTCTACACAGAGAACAAGAAGAGCAAGAACGCCTCCTTCAGGCTGGGCTGTATTGTGGCCTCCCTGTTTCTACTGCACCTTTTTGACTCATTTAAACCTCCCACCCACACAGCCACCCTGTTCTACCTACTTTCCTTTTGCAAGAGTGCTACGGTACCCTTAGCCACTGTTACAATCATCCCTTACTGCTTGTCAGGAGCTCTGAGTGGAGACAGCAAAAAGCATCTTTGAGCTGGAAAGGCCAAGGTGAGAGCTGGACCTGAATTGGACTCATCTGACAATGCTGAAGAGTATTCAGAGGTGCTTTACTTTCTGCATTTCCTGTAAACACAGTCCAAGAGCTCATCTAACAAATAACTGGCTTTAGGTAGTGACTGCATGACCAGTTGCAATCGGTAGACTACACAAAATCACACCAGCATTTCTTTTAGAGTTCTAACAAACATGTAAGAAACAAAACACAAATTCTCATTGTGTGAACTCATACTTAATTGACCATGGGTACATTTCCCAAAACCATAGCTGCTAATAACGTGAGCAACTTACATAGTTGGAACCGTGCAACTGAATGATTCCAACTATACAGTACCAGTTGCTAACAGGAGCTTTTGGAAAACATAGCCCATAATAGTCTTCAAGCATTCACTCCTATAGATAGATGTCATCCTTATTTGAAAGAATTTTGATAGTTATGATTATGATTAATCCTGATTATTGTTGCTGTAACAGTAACAGTATTTAAGAGCTGTATTTCATTTTAATTTTCCCATTTTTCATTTTATTTAGATGTTCAGCTTATGAATCCTTGAACAAGTTTGAACATATATAGTATTGTATTTGAGCAACTTGCAAAAGTGACTATACCAGAGTCAGATATTGTTTTCACTCGATAATATTCATGGAAGGTTTTCTCATCTCCTATAGACATTAGGAAACAAAACAGAAGTGACTTCTAGGCTATAACATTAGTCTAATGTATTGCTTGGTAGGAAAAACAACATGTCCATAATTTATTAACGTCTGTGTATGTAATCCAGGCAAACATGATTTCAGGAAATGTTAGACTACTAGCCTGTTTGACAGATTTTTTATTTTTTTATTAAAGATATATTTCTGTAAAAAGAAGCTGTGGTTAAATTGAAGGGAATTTATAATAAAATTGTTAAAAACATTTATGTTGTCATTGGTCCAGTGGTTGTGAAACTAACTCTGCACTATGCAATCTATTATCATTGAATATGAAATCCTTATTTTAGTTATGAGCTTCACCGTAATTCAACTACAGTTACATGTAAGAAATAAGTAATAGTATTTAAAGTAATGCAACAATCAGTAATGTAATTATAATAGTCTCTTTTCCATCACAGAATATCAAGTAACCAGTCATGCATTTACATTCATAAATTTACAAGAAAACTATGTGTTGTTCATACTGCTTGTAAACAGTACTTTGTTCATTCTGTATACTGCCACTTATTTCAGCTGTTTGGTTACTTATTGTTCTGATACTCTGTGTCCTTACCAGAGCAAACAATATGCTTTGCTGTTACAAAAACAAGAACTTGTGCAATAACATACAGGGATAAGGAAGGAAATGGCACTGCAGCCAAAAACCAGGTTTGTGTTTCCAAATGTGGCACCCGACCATTTTTGGAACATACTATAGGAAGGAATCTTAATTAACTTTGCTTAAAACCAGCACATAAAAGAGGTTTGATAACATCAGCTCTTTACTTACTTTACTTTATCTCTTTAAATTATAACGCTTCACCAAAAAATGTAAATCTTCTTTAAGATGTTTAAGTTCCAGAATATGAACACATTTTCTGGCCTGTGAAAGTAGCATTACTTCCAGAATGAAACAGGCTGTCTCCTACATCTTGTTATCTGAGCAAAATTTAAAAGTTGCAGCAGAATAATCATCTGTGATTTTCTCATGGTTGCCATGCAATACCAGGGCTTATTTCAGAAGCAAGTAGGCAATAGAAAATACAGAAAACACCTCAAGTCTTTACGTCACAGTGGCACAAAGTTTACTGGAGATCACCATAGTTTGGCCAGTAACAGTGTGGAACATAAATAGTCAATGATGAATTGTGTCAGACTACACTTCACATAAACATAGATAATAGGTGATAATTATTAACCTGTTTTTTGAGCTCAGGGCTGCAATTTCATTGGCACTGCAGACCCAGGAGGGAACATGACAGGGATTCTCCACGGCCCTGGGAACCTGAACATTCAATATTTAACCAGCGTTTATCTACACGTGCAGATCTCAGTTTCAAGATTTCGGTAGTACGTCAGTTTTTTTGTTGTTGTTGTTGTTGGCGTTGACCCAGTTCTTGTTGGTTCAGCTGTTTCAGCGGGGAGCGCGACGCGACCTGTGCCAATGCAGACGGCGGCGTTGGCGGGCAGCCGTGTTCTAATATGCTGGTGGCTTCATCCAGACCAAACACTGCACATGAACTCCAGCATGACAGATGAGCTGGGATAACTACCTCCACCGCTGTGCAAAAATAATGCATAATTTGCTGTAATATGACTCACGGAGTCCTAAACAGCATCCAAGGGATGGCTCTAGTTATACTTTATTTGTGTAATAGTTTTATCAAGAAACTCAACTGCTTATCACCTCAGGGCTGTGGTGTAACATTAAAGATAACATGCAATGTTTTACCCCGATCCAAAAGGCTAAGTTTAGCACAACAGTCTAGTGCTGACTGTGACATTATGTTTTAGGTGCTTCTCAAAACATATCTATCAATCCTTAACCACTTATCTGGTACTGGGTGACAGTTGGTCTGTCCCAGAAGACAAGGCAGGGGACATCCTAGAGGGCACATTACAAAGCACTTATAAGACAATGGACAATTTAGAGTTTTCTCATTGAGTCCTGGGAGAAAATGCAAACTCCACACACACACGTTTGTATTCATTTCTATGGGAAAAACCCTAATCCCAACAATGACAACCTTAACCGTAAGTAATTAAATGAAATACAACACTTCGGACATTATTTGTTTTTTTTTGATTGCAGTCACAGAATTTTTATAAAATTGAGTTTCCCCTTCTGGGGACAGAAAAAAATGGTCCCCATAACATCAAAATGTCCGGTTTTATTACATTGTCGGGACACTTGGTCCTCATAATGTAAGATGAACATAACTCACATACACACACACACACACACACACACACACACGTAGGGTAAACATATCCTTATGGCGACCGCTCATTCATTTCAATGGGAAAAATGCTAACGCTAACTATGACAACCGTAACCCCCACCCTGCCCTAACCATAACCATAAGTAACCTAACAAAATACAAGAGTTTTTGCATTTTTAGTTTTTTCATAGCAGTCACTGATTTTTATCAAATAAAATTGGATATTTATCACGTTATGGGGACATTGTGTCCCAATAAGGATAGGTAAACCCGCTCACACACACACACATACACACACACACACACACACACACATAAAACAGGATTCAAACCCTGAGTTACACTGTAACGTAACAGTGTAACTCAGTGATGCATCACACTGCTCCCTCAAAGTCATCATGCTAATCTAGCTTTACTTTTGAGAATCTATAAGTAGGGCTGCTGTTAGTGGGTGTCATTGCATGCTCATTTTAGTATTGAATATGGCAGAGGATTATGAAAACTCTTTTCTTGTAGTTCTTTGCGGGAAAAAAAACACAAGAGCAAAACTGGACATTTTTCAGGCTACAGTTTACATTGTGTCTGATTCATTTATGTGTGAAAGCAGCCCGATAGCTGACTTGCCGCTAAATATGTGCCCAATATACTAAACCACTGTTTGAGTAGCATCACAGTGGGAAACCAAATGTTGCTGATTTCTACATGCATACTGCCCCCCTGTGTTGGTCAGCAGGCACAAGAAGTCTTTTAACTAGGCATGGCCATGAATTTATTTAGAATTCAGTGATTAATTGTCATTGTTGAGACACCACAGCACACAACAACGAAATGTGTTCCCTGCATTTAACCCATATGTGACAATGTGACATAGCAGGGGGCAGCTAATTCAGCGCCCAGGGAGCAGTACTTGTCGCTGGTCGGCGATTCGAACCTGAAATTTTTCAATTACGAGTGCGCTTCCCTAACCATTAAGCCACCACTGCCCACCCCAAGAGAGAGAGTGAGCTGTGGTGCACACCAAGCAGAGGTACTAGCGCCAACCAAGGCCAACAAATGATCAGCTCCCATTGGGCTCTCATGAACGGACTATTGACTCTAAACACTGGTGATGACAGTAAGCTGAGGTTGTTTAGAGTGAATGTTAGCCTCCAGCTGAGGCACGTTTTGCCTGCACTCCTTTGTGATTTTCAAGGACAGGATACCAAGGCACAGCTGCGACTGGAGAAGCATCCTGTTTGGGGGTCTGGAGGTAACATCCCTGCAATTTGCAGACTATGTGGTTCTTTTTGCCTCATCTTACCCGAAATGATTTATCAAAATTTGGATGTGTGTCTATGGCTGTTTAAAAAGATCTTTAATAGGTTACAAGGCACCATGCAGGTCGAAGGAGCATGCATCATCCATGTCTTACAAAACATCTTATGGTCTTCACACAAAGATTAAGTTTCACATTCTCTGAGACCATCAAAGTCACAAAATGGCCTTCTGTTGAATGTGTTAGCTCAGTGACAACTGAGCATACAACGGTTTTTTTTCCCCCTCTTTTGTCACAGCTGATTTACTTCTGAAAGGATGCAAGAAAGGAACTGCAGAAGAAACCACATCTTACTTCACTCACCCACCATGAGGGTTTTTTCCCACTGAACACTGTCTGCCAGATAAAAACATTTCCAGCTGCTTTTGGGAATGACAATTCCAGGTTGTCATTTGGCATATAACATACAGTAAGACTTGGCTTTCAAAGTGTCACTCCGAAGTCATTATCGGGACAGTCAATGCTACAGCTGGAAAATACAAATCTATAATAATTTTTTGAGCTACAAATTAAAATTGTGCAGTGGACACTCTTTCAGCATCAGAAGAAGAAGGAATGTACTGTAAGACAAACATGTCAGTCAGCTGCAATACAGTTTACAATTCTTTCATCTCATTAGTGTTGCTGTTCAAGAGTATATCATTACATCTGACAGATTCTTCTTGATACTTGACAATGTAAAATATGCAGTTTACTAAATATGATGTTTATCTACAGTAGTATCTTATAAACATTTCCAGTGAGAGGGGAGTATGTCAGCCTATGTATTACGAGAAGCAGTAATCAGAGTACCCAAAGCACATCACGCCTTTTATACCATATACTACTGGCTTTCAAAGTAATGTAAGTAATGTAAAGGAAGGCAGTGTGGTAGGACATGTGCGCTGCCGGAACGCCTCATCTCTGTTTCATAACCTTTATGTTGCTCTTCTCAATCGGTGCTCAAAGATGCAACTTCCTTATTTCTGTGAATTTAATTAATACGTGTCATCAGAAACCAGGATACAAAACAGCGAAGGCTAACAAATCCGTGCCTTGAATTTTTGTGTCCTCACCCTCCCACCTAATACGCACAAGGTAGGCAGCACACTTTAATGCAGCTTTTACCGTGTTTGTCAATGAGGTCATACAATCAAAATACAATCTACAGTTGCTGCCAGGAAAGTATCGTTCACAATTCTCAATCATCGCTTGAATGCATTAATGGCTCATGAATGTATTCACATTCAAATCAGATGTCTTGATACTTACTTACTAGCTAAAGCTTCTGTTCCTCAAAGGTTGATGTAAACAAAATTACAATATAAACTTGCTTGTTTCACATGTGCTTCAGTAAACCCATTTCTGCAGTAAACTTCCTGGCTCCATTCCCCTGCTTCCCTGCTCGCCTTCCTGCAACCGTGACAGGAATGCTTCCCCCATGCATTTAGAGTCAGAGGGCAGAGGGCTCCTTTCAAACAGTATACCTCAACAAAACCGTATAACCAGCCATAATGCATGAGGCCAGCTGGACATTTTCCACTAGCAAATACTTGACCTTTTGCTAACCTTGTTCTCTGGAGCCCATTCCTGAATGTCTATTGCTTTCTTTTTCTCCCAGACTGAAAAGCAATATGAATACCCTTGCATTAAAAATGAGAACTTAAAAAGTTGAATCCACCATTATTTACAATCAACATTTGGAAAAGTCAACTGATAAATAGAGACTATGAATATCACCATATGTAGAGGGTGGAGATAACAGAAACAACAAATGAATATGGATATAAGAGAGGTCTGAGTATTTTGATATATACAAATTTTCGAAGATTGTAGTTAAACAAGAGACAAAATAGTGCCTGTACTGCAGGTGCATCAAAAATTGCTGAATGAAAGTATGAAGGGACACCATCTGCAAATCATGAGGATACATCGAAGACAGAGAAACCGGACTGCAAACAGGAACAGATCTCACAAGTCAAAACTCACCCATGGTAATAGACAGAGCTTCACCTGGACCCTGAACAATGGGAAAAAAATAATGTTTCACTTATTTGGAATGTGCTTTTATCCAAAACAACCTACGTTTCTTTCTCTTTTTCTGAGAGAGCGGGGTCAGGGTGCCCCTGGGGGTTATGGGCCTTGCTCAGGGCCCCAAAGGTTGCTGACCCAGGAATTTGAGCCGGTGCCCTTTTGATAACAGGCTCGGCCTCCTAACCCACTGATCCGCACAGTGCCCCCCCCCAAAGGAGCCATCTTTCACTATTTTACCTTCATGAGAAACTGATTCACTTTCTGAGTAAGTCAAAGGTTGCCTTCAGTCCTCAATGTGAGAGATCCTTCATGGTCTGGAATGCCATCTGGTATGGCATAGCTGTGTAACGGCCAAGCAATCTGAGGTCATTTCACAGGACAAGGCGCATCCTATGGTATGAATATTGTTGCATCATGATGCCTCCATATACAGTGGCACATAGATTTGAGGGTTTCATGAGCACTATGATGAAGAAAAGCGACTGCCATGGTCTCCCCAGTGACTAGAGCTAAACATCACCAATCCTTTAAAAGAACTTCTAGAATGCAGAGTATGAAGCAGATTTCCATCTTCTTCCCTCAAAGAACAGGCGTAGGACAGCATTCCAAAGTGGACTGAAGCTGTGTGAATTGACTCCCAATTAGGGCCTAGAAATTATTATAATGTTTGGTGTTTCCATTATTTTGTCCCCCAATTGTAGGTGTTTTGTGGTATTTAAATAACATTATTATGATGAAACTGAGTCAAAAAATAAAAACTTGATTATGAAATGATTAAGGAAAATTGCATTATTAGACTCATAACTCAATAAGCAATCTATTATATATAACCAGATGTCATCACTTAAAAAAATCACACCACTCTGAGTTTTTGTAAGATTTAAAATAAACCACTATCAGGTACAGCACAATAAAAAGGCAGACTGACAAAGGTTTCTAGATAAACAAATTCATTAGTCATAGCATTGCAAGACATACCGATAACTTACGGCTATAAATTCTTATTTCCATTATCCTGGAATGGCATTTTGGTTGATAAGGTTAACCTGCTCATAATGCTTAATAGTTAATTAATATCCTTTGTTTTCTTGTTTCTATCCAACCGCATCCACCACTGCTGGTTCCCAACTTATGACGTCTCTTATCCTGTATAAGTTATGTGTTCCCTGGGTGACATGCTTCCTAACTAAAAACATAATTCACAGATAAAGCATGTCAGAGTCACGGAAGACATTTTGGACAATAACATTATTGAGAAATTAAGGGCAAATTTAGCTCAGGGTTCTTGCGGCGTGATGTATATGGTCCATGTAACTGGCGTGATCTCAAGCGGGAGCCGTGTAACTGGCGTGATCTCAAGCAGGGGCCGTGTAACTGACACACAAACAGCCATCTGAATCACAGGAGCCTTTTCAATATGTGTCAAAGTAATCAACTTACTTTAGAGTATTAAAGTATCAGAGGTAAATCTCAAGCTATAACTGAAATATCGAAACGACAAGGAAAGACTGGACGGAATCAAAGGAACTCAGCGACAGTGTTGCATTGGATTCACAGAGAACACATATTCATGATAAAGTACATTTTGACAAACAAAAAAGTACACATTTCAGAGATTTATACGTTTCCAAAAATGATTTCCTAATCACTGTACATATATGCCATATTTTACCTCTGTTGCATAAAATTAGTCTCTGTTTACAGTACTAAAGCAATCGGAGACGTACCAGTTTAAATGTACTCTGCGTGAAGGATGTATTTCTACAAAAAGAAATGATCAATAACTCAATTGCTGCATTTCCTACATGATTACCAACAGCGTCAACACATCCTTGTTAGGTTTTGGGTTTGTCTGCCTTTGTGAGTGTCTGTGTACTGCTGGAGAATCCGTCCTTCCAGCTTCCAGTAATTATGGGTGCGTAAGCCCCTGTGCATATCTGTGTGTGTGTTGCGGGGGGGGGGGGTTCATCTGGCTGCATTAGCACCATAACCTCCCCGCCTCTGGGTGACACAACAGGGGTGTGCTCATGTGTGTTCACTCCTCCAGGTGGGGGCACCGGCTGTGCTCCTGCAGCAAGGCCTCCACCTCCCCCCTGCGCTCCATCCGACTGGCCTTGCCCTGGAATCTCCCTTTTTTCCCTGCGCCTTTCCCTTCCAGTAGCTCCGCCACCCTGCATCCAGGACACAGATATAGAGGCAAACAATGTCAAGTGGGATGATACAAACACTTTGGAGTAAGGGCACCAAAAACAAACAGACAAAGTAAGTAACAAAACAAAACAAAACAAAACAAAACAAAACAAAACATATAATTAAAACCAAGCAGTCTACAGCGTTTGGCTCATGAACACTGATTCAAATCGCAGGGTCAGCAGAGGGATTTCAATGTTTGGTCCCTAATTGCTCCATCAACTGACTGACCCTGCTTTCCCCCCCGAAAAAGTATGTCACTTTGGAAGAAATCATTTGTGAAACATATACAAATGTAGGGTAAAATGTTTAAGAAAACTTATAACTGACAAAGAACAAACAGATCGTAGACCTTGCGAAACACAGGAACTGACCATAAAATTGTCACACTGTTTCATTTCTGTACACTCATTAATTAAACCCAGACGAGGGGAGCGCCATGCTTTCCACATGGCATCACAAGCTACTGGTGATTCTGAAACCCTAAAAGATCCTCTAACTGCACTTCACCTTGGTCCCATCTTCTCCACAATCTCTTCGGGTCCAACTAGAAGGAACAGCCCCGCTCCCTTCTCCTCTCCAACTGTCAAGAACAAGACCGTTTCCTGGAGGGAGGTGAGATGAACAGAGATGGTTCATGCATCTTCAAGAGTGTCTGGTTTTCATCAGTGCCTTGCAAGGCAGACAGTAAGCAGACACCAACCCAACATATTCCTGGGTAGTCCTCCAAAGCGGAGGCATTTTAAATGTTGTTTTCATTAAATCACCGCAACTATAACTCATAACTTTTTCCTCATAACTTTAACTCTTTCTTTCCCATTGACTTTTTTCTCCTAAACACTAAACTATAGCAGAGCAACAGTATAACCATGTGACTTTAACAATGGCAAAAAGAATCCCACTGCATAACTGTGTGCACTTATCTAGTGAAACTTTTTATTCTGCCTTGTTTACATTCAACATCACCCATTCTGGGGAGCTGCAGTGGCTGATGGGATATCAATGTCACTGCTCACAGTGTGTGGATTTCTCACTGTTTGCTTGGCCTTTCTCCAGCTACTCTGATTCCCTCACATATCCAGAAACATGTGGTCAAGTTAACTGGTGACTCTAAAAGGGTGGAATAGTTGTTGGAATGTGCCCCTGTGATCTGCATCCCATCCTGTACTGGATAAATGGTTATGAAAGATGGATGGACAGGATTTCCAGGGCACACAGTCACCAAACATGTTTGCCGTCTAAGAGGAAGCTGGAGTACCAGAGGAAAGCAAGGCAGATCCAGTGAGAACCAGCAACTCCACAGATTCAGAGTGGGGGCCAAATTCATGCTCATAAGCCAGGGTCAGGGTCAAGGGCTATTCAACATTATATCCAACATCATTCTCAAAAAAGAAAAACAAACCTCTGTGCCGATTTCATTTGCTATTATATTCATAAACTCATTATCACCTTCCTTTCTGCAAAGAAAGCAAACCACAAAAAGCTATTAAGAGCAGAACTATTATAACCACACCCAACCCGGCAACATACAAACACAACATTTCTTGGTCATTTTCTAAGAGCACATTTTGTAACAAGGTCGCCATCTAGTGTGATCATTTCAGCATCGCACCTAAGCAAACAAAGGATAAAGCCCAGCTAACAAAGTTCTCAGAATGTTAGCCAACATTACCATAAGGTCTTCTTAAAGTTGGCAGACAACGCTCTTACTGTAACATTAACTGAATGCTATTTCCATGTCAATGTCAGCATGATAAAAGGATTTTCAGGTACTAATGTTAACGCAATTAATGTTGAAAATTTTATTAAAAAAAAAAAAAAAAAAACTATTTATGAAAGGGTTATATGTGAATACTGCGAATGTGCTATCCAGCCTTGAACCCATTACTTTTGAAGTGCATAGCAACAGTGTTACCTGCAACTTTATCATGCTTTAGTACAATTCTTTGTTGTAGTAGTAATTGTAGTAGTGGGATAATGTTTTGGGAACATCAGAAAAACCGGACACTATGATGGTTTGCATATCTTAATTATAATATTCGGCACATGCTCATACAATGCAAAATGGTTAGCGGGGAAGACCCTTACCTGTGTAAGCAGAACAGGTTGCCTCGGTTTGGATTGTTCTTGTAGTTTTGTGCAATTAGCACCGCCATATCTCGTAAGAGACTGAGGTTACTCTGCACAGAAAAATAAAGACTTATTAAATAATCCTAAATAATTAACATTACCATAAAAAGCATCATTTTTTGGCACCTTGGAGATTCACGGTAATGTTTTCTCTTACCTTCTGCAATGCCTTGACTGACTTCTGCACCTTGTCCACAGCTTCAACGTGGTCGTCTGCTCCTGTCCTGTGAGTTACAGGGGGCCAAGCCCAGTCACCATATACTGAGGTACGAGTTTGGCTGCCAGTTTGGAATCACTCAAGCCACGCTGCTCCATGTACTGTACTTTTTATATTATGAAAAATTACAATTAAAAATTACATTTAAATGGATGCTCAGAATGAAAAAAATTATGGATAATGAATTATTCCATACAGAGAGTCCTTTTTGTACTGCATTAGGAATATGATATTAGGAATGCTTTCATAAGGTATTTCCTAATACCGTATTTTCCGCACTATAAGGTGCACTAAAAAGCCTTTGATTTTCTTAAAAAATAACAGTGCGCCTTATAATCCAGTGCGCTTTAAACATGGATTAATTTTTGTTGTGCATACTGAACTCGAAGCGATTAGAATGTTTTAGTATTGAAAAGTGAGTGTATTGTGTAGTGCTTCACGTGTTATAAATTAACAATTTCAAGAGTTATTATGAATACGCTGACTTTTGATGTAGCGGTATAGGACCGTATTATAAGTGTTCAATTTTGAGTTATTGTTAATAGGCTGACTTTCGATTTAGCGGTATAAGCCTCTTGTTTTTTTACATGTTAAAGAGTAGTGAAGACGCTCATAAACGTTTGAACAATGTTGACAGTCATTGTGAACACGTAATGTAAAATTAATTTTCGTTGACTGGCTTATCTGACTGTTTTGTTTTGCTTAAAGCGCCTTAAAGTCCCGTGCGCCTTGTATGTGGAAAAAGTTTGAAAATAGACCACTGATTGACGGTGCGCCTTATAATGCAGTGCGCGTTATAGTGCGGAAAATACGGTACCTAATAATGTCTATTAATTGGTTGACCGTATATAACCAACAAAATAAACAGAGGCTAGCCCAAAGCCAAGAATGACTTAACATTTCTAGTTACAAAGATCACTGCTCTTGTGTGTCCTCTTACTTCAGAAGCGCTGTCAAAGCCCGCTCTATGGTGTAGCTCTTCTCAGCATACTTAAGAACCCGGTTTCCAGCAAGGAAAATCAAGTTGATTTTGTTTTTCTTTCCCTTTTCAATCCCCAGGATTTTTATAACCTGAAATTGACGATTAGAGACTGTGAGAAGAACTGGGAAATGAATATGAATGACACAACATGCTTATCCTGGACAAGTACTTGCTAAAGGACAGATTGATGGACATATGAATGGATGAACGAATGGATGAATGGATGATGGAAAGAAATTCTTTGCAATTAAGTTACTCTTCCCTCCTCCTAACTTGCATTGTCTATCTATGTGAAAAAACAGCATCTCTAAAGGGATCACTTCAAAAAACTGGGTTTAAAACTGGGTTTAAACTTCCAGGTGCATCTGGAATGACTTAACAGAGAGGATGGTGCTGCCCTCGGCACCTCGGAGACATCACCTGCAGGTGGCTGAGGTTTGACACGTGGGTTCCACAGCACATGTTGGCATCCACGCCCTCGATGTCGATCACTCGGATGGGCCCCACAGCGTCTTCTGGGAGACCACGGCTTCTCACCTGGGGGAGGAGGATCAAAACCACACGATTACCAGGCGATTCTGACCCAGTCCTACAGCCAGAACACTGAGATTTCACAGCCCCTGAATCTGCTCTGTAAGTCCTCTGCTGCAAGAAAAACTATTTCAGGCCGGCTAACCTGGGTGAACAAGAACAACAATGCCTCCCAAGAAAAGAAAAAAGCATGAATGGATACACTTGAAACAGATCAAACTGAGTCTGCAAATCTTTAAAATAATACTGACTGATCAAAGAATCCATCTGAATCTCACGATGATTTTTTTTCATGATGAATTCATAAGTGCACATGGCTTAGTTATAACTGAGAATTAACAGCCATCTTGAGACTAATAAGACTGTCGGTACGATTAAAACAACATTTTGGTTAATGATGGACTGCACATATGACGATGGTCCCACAGGATAATAATAGAATTGAAAAATTCCTATCACATCATAGCCATTGTAACATTGTAGTGCAAGGTAATACGGGTTTATGTTGATGTTGGTGTAAACAAACAATTATGCTTATGGTTTATGTATTTACTGTACATTGTATCGTTATCTAGGCTATACCATATAGCCTAGGTGTGTAGTAGACTATACCATCTAGGTGTACACTCTGTGATGTTTGCACAACGACAAAATCACAACGCATTTCTCAGAACGTATCCCCACTAAGTGACACACGACTGTAGTTTTTATTTTGTAAGAACTGGAAATACAAATTCAGTCCAATTTTAATAAAAGCGGCGTGTAAATTCAGTAATTTCCCTCTGTGATCTGTCCGCATTCGACAGGTAACCTGCTCCATAGCCGGGTCGTCTAGCGTGAGCACTTTGACTGTGACCGGGACGTGCTCCCGGATCTTCTCATTCACAGCTCTCTCCAGGGCCTCTATCTCCCCAGGCTTTGCTGTGCCCGTGTCCAGCTCAATAGTGCTGCGCTGACGCCCCAGTTCCCTGTGAACAGATCCAATAAAATCACACACTCATCAGCATTTCCTTAGAAAGTCAGCAAATTATCTCAGATAACAGATTGCATATTTTTCAAGCATTAAAACATTACTCTCCCACACATATTAGGTTACCACATACATTTTTGTGCATTATTCAATTCTGGTTGGTCATATGAATGACTAAAACATATCTTTCCTGTTTTAAAAAAGCGAGAAAATAATTAATACTAATTAATAATTGATAAGCAGGCAAATCTTACCTTCATTTCTTTTATTTATAAGTAAACTGCTTACCAGGAGGTGGTCTTGTAACTAAACATGCTGTCAGCCATGGCTGTGATTAAATGCTGACCTGAGAGTGACCAAAGTAACGACATTTAAGAAATTTACAATACTAACAAAGAGATGCAAATGTTATAAACGGGCCTCCAAAATGGGTTACATTTACAGCTTATACTTTGAAACACATGAAGTAACATTTGTCAATGTGAACATCAGGGGTTACAATGATATTTAAAACATATAGAGATCAACAGAGAAAAAGTTTACTCACATTAGAAAAACACTGCATACAAAAAACTAGTTACAACTTTAATAACAGAGTTTTACCAGAATGCTGCTGCATGTGGTCAAACCTGCGATCCCAGTCCACCTTCAGCTGGACTTCCAATCCCACCTCTAGCGGAGAGCTCACAAAATGTACAGCCTCCGCCCCCTGCCTCGTCACTCTCAGGACAGGCACGCCCGCGATGGTCCCCCGGTCATCTGGCTGCAGCGTGCAGGACAGAGTATCAGGACCTCTTCATAACATGGGCCCAGTTTTCAAACAGAGCCTGGAGACTGAGCTCTGGATCTTTCTACATAACTAAAACGGCAGGACAAGACCCAGGGGCGACTGGCAATCACCTGCACCTAACGACTTGATGGACAGCTACCGTTTCATGTGCTTGCAGTTTGCACGGGTTTCCACTGACAGTACACAGGTTTGGACTTAAGTAAGCTAGTGTCTCTAAATCACCTTTAGCAGGGTTGCCCAATTCTGGTCCTGGAGGGCCAGAATTCAACAGAGTTTGCAGATTTCCCCACTCAAGCACACCTACTAAACCTGGTAATTAGCTGATTAAGATGTGTGTTCAGCAGGGAAATCTGCAAACTCCTGGATTCTGGCCCCCTGGGACTGGAATTTGGCAGCCCTGGCCTATAGCATTCGAATATGGCCCCATCAACAGAGCTCCCCTGCCTTGTGCCTTATGCTTCCTGCTATAGCAGTGTTGCCAACTTTAGTCAGCTGGCTGGCGTGAGATTTTCAATTCCAGACAAGTCTGCACACACATGCACATGTATGTTACAGTTTTATTATCTTGTAAATAGTCTGTATGGTTTGCAAACTACCCCAAAGCTTTTGGTGCAGCCAATTTTAGGTTTATAATGGAATAATATAGATTTGCCATAAGATTTTTTGCGTGTGCGTGAGTTAGATATAGCGAGTGTCACGCCAGATGCCTCAGAGTTGACAACCCTGGCTATAGGCTCCAGGATTCCTGCAACCTGCTACTGCAAGGTTGAAGATGTACAGTTGAAAGATGGATGGACAGTAGATTAGCCATTTCACTCCGTAACTTGAGTGACAGATTTTGAGCCGTTAGATGTGAATCACCACTACTTACCTGCCCACCTCCCTCGGGAAACAGAATGGTGTCTTTGAGTATAACATTAAAACCCTTCACCTTCTCCTTCTTCCCATTGTTTTCCAGTTTCAGTTCAGAAGGACAGCAGGACACCACTGTGGTGACAAACTGAAAGCGAAAACGTCTGTAAGTTAAGCGTCAGTTTACCTGTATGGAAAATACAACGTAGTTTGTAATTTGTTTCATTTCAACGGTTGGCGTAGGTAAAGCATTATTTTTTCCCTTTTTACTCAGCTATACCTATGTGATATTCCTTCTGTGTTACAATCGTTATTGTATGTAACTAAGAAAATCCTGACAGACAAATGCAGATAGCAGACCTGTCGTAGAACATTTGTGCGTCTGATACAGCAGAGGATTCAATAGATGTCACGTTTTCCGAGGCACTCATTAAAGTATCAAGCCCGATCACATTAACCAGTGGTGATAAAAACTGTTTCAGGCGCATTTATGCTCATCCTGGCTCAACACAGTGACAGCTGCAATTACTCCTGCCCGCTTGATTTTCCGGGACAGCTGGTAATGATGTGAGCACACGGCTTAAACTTAGATAAATATGAAATCACTTCTACGTCAAGAACACGAAAGCCCAAGTGCACAAACTTTGGGTATAACATACACAATGAACATTATATGACCCTATCCAATTCAGTCTACTGTACTTTTTTGGGTTCCTGTGTTAATGGCGAATTTGCGATCCAAAACTGAACCATTTTCAACTTAAACTGATTAAAACATGAAAATGCTTGCATCCTACCTCTTGCATGTAACAATCCCTTTGGCACTGAAAGGCCATTTTTTTATTTTATTACAAAATCTCAATATTACAATCGATCACCCGGCTCTCCTCAGCTCGGTACAGAAACCTACAGATAGCGATAGGGGACAAAAAGGCACGATCATGTACTTCGCGGAACAGAAGACTGCACTGACAGGATGTAGCAGGTGAATGAATTACAAGCAGAATGGTCGGTAAATACTACAATATTGTCAAATCCACATCTTTTGAATAAGGATATAAGGTATAAAGTGTTTTCTTGTGAAAACACTAATGTTAACACAGGGGAGCCAAAATGCTTTATGATAGCCCCCAACCCAGACAAATCCAACTATGTCCCACATCTCTTATGGCCTTTGTTATCCAGGGTCCTTTGGAATCGTTCTACCCCGCCACCACAGTGCCCCTGTACAGGCTTATTAGAATTGTCTGACAAATACAGTTGTATTTTGTACAAGTATCCTAATATTGGTAGACACTATAAGGAGATGTATTAACTAACTATATAGTATTAACTATTTTCATAAATGATATATTGAGGCCAGGAAAAAGCTTTTTACCATGATTTTAATAATACATTACACACATCAATTTTAAAAATACATTTATCATTATACATATAACTTGATTTACAAGCACGTACAAACTGTAAAATGACTGTCATTGTCGGTCTTGCTTATTTTCTCCCAAATCTGAACATGTGTGATAGTTCTGCACCAGTCATCTGCAACACCATCAGTTGGTGATCCCGAGGAAGGCTGTATACTCCACTGACACTCATGCCAGTTGCTTAATTTACACTTCATTGGTCATATTGCAGACGCATTAACAATCAGCGCATCCTTTCATGTTGCTGGCAATAAGAACTGCTGGAACCTGACAGGTTTACTAGGATAAGAGGTCAGCCTACACATTCTTGCTAACCTCCCTGTCTCCTCACAAGGGGGAAGAGCCAAGTCCATTACACCAGTGCCGAACTTACAACCACATTTTGATTTAAAGCATAGCTAAACACTTAACTTGCACAGCTGAGTCTGAGGGAGAAAACTTCATCTTTAAGAAAATTCCCACATCAATGAAGTTTTCTTGGTCAAATTGAATGTGAATTAATAAGCTATCCAGATAAGTGAGCACAAAAGTGAAGATTCTTCAGTTATAATACAGAAGATCTTTGTCCTTGGCTCCAGATGTGGACTGTCAGCTTGTAACAGAAATTACTAAGGGGTCATCTATGATCTTATAAGTAATGGTAAAAATCCATTACTAGGCTTTACCGGTTACTAGGGAACCACATGCATTTTGACTGTACACATAGCACCAAGAAATGCTAACAATTGCCACAGGAGCTTTGTCTTCTCTACTTTCTGTCCTTGTAGAATCAGTTTGTCATTTCACATCAGGCCTGTGGAAAATCTAGAACAAAACAGCATTCACTTTAAGGGTTCTGAATATCCTATTATATGATGTCAACCAAAGCATTGCAAAATCAAAGGATAAGTAAGGTTTGAGAACAGAATAAGGTATACTTTCATGGGAGTCACAATGTGTATCTAACCCCCTATGTGCCATCAGATGCTAATTGTTTATATTTCTTATACCCTCAGGCAGCTTAACAGAAATGTAAATGTTCTTCTGCCTCACTGGTTGTACAAATATCATGCAAATAATGTGAGATGTGTACAATTTAGCCTGATGTTCATTACCTGGATTACATTTATTCAACCTCAATCATCCTGAAAAAAGGAGAGAAAAAAACACATTATGTATTATGAATACATTTCATGTGACTACATTAATAAAATTTAAAGCCTATTAACAAAAAGAGAGCTGTATTTCAAAATTGTTTAATTCTACCAGTACTTTATGACTACTGTTTATAGTAGCTGGGGAAAGAGGAATAAATACTAACATCCAAATCATCAAGGTCATCCATCGTTGGAATTTCTGTCTTTTTGCTCATATCTTTCAGCATCTAGGAGGGAAAAGGGCATGTTATCCATAGCAACCTGCAAAGCTAACACTTAATTATAGCATCTTGCTGAAGTATTGCCTTTTATGTTTGGTCGCAAGACTGATTTCTTAAACACTATAGTGTTTTGTTGGCCACACATTTTAAAAAAGGTGTCTTTTCTGAAACTTTGATGCTTGTTCTGTGTTTTTGCTGATACACAACCAATCTAGCCTTTGTAAGCCAGTGTGGTTTCGGTGGCACTTACATCCACATAATGACCATACTCCTCCATTCCCTCCTCCTCTTCATGCTCCCAGTCTCTCCAGTTGTCAAAGTCCACAGAAAGCCAGATGGGCTGCATGTGAACACAGATTATTAAAAAACAGCATTTCAAAGGGATTTTATAATGCTTCATTACAGTGACTTGGTGGGTGGCACCGTACTCTGATTTCTCTGTGGTTCTGGGCAGAGGTGGAAAGTTCAGATCCAGAAAGTAGAAGTCCAAACCAAGATTTTGTTTCAACCAACCAGTTAATTATAAAGAGTCACAGTCACAGAGTATGCAACTGGTTGGTTGAAACAAACTCTTGGTCTGAACTTTTACTTTCTGGACCTCAAATTTCCACCTCTGATTCTGGGTTTGGTCCCCACTCCTAGTTCTGTGTGTGTGTAGCTTGCATGTCTTTCCCTGCCTGGGTTTTCATGTACTCTGATAGCCCCTTCTGTGATTACATTTGTGAGTGTGTGTGCCATGTGAAGGGCTGGTTGCCCACCTACAGTGTCCCCTGTCTCATGCTTTATGCTTCCTGCTATTGGCCCTAAGCTCCCCGTTAACCTGTACTGGACAAACAGTTATTGAAAATGGATGGATGGCTATCTTTGATTGCATATATAACTCCTATGGTCTAGTGAGAGATGGATTGGGCAAGCCTTAATAATTACAAAGCACAATTGCAACATGAACTCTGCAACTTTTCACGCAATAATGGCCAGTTTTGATTGGGTACCACAATGTGAAATACCTGAGAAAGAGGTAAAATCCCAACATGGGACAGACATGCACTAATGTATCTCATATGTAATACTAAGTGGAAAAAACAACCAATTCTTTTTTTTTAGTTGCTCCTTGCCTTGACAGGGTCTTTGGTCAAGCGAGGCCAGGCAACATTCTCCTTTACTTTCCTCAGGAGGACGTGGACAGTGCGGTCATGTCGTGTTTCCCTGGAGTCCTGTTGAGTCAAGACATAACTTAACCTTTCAGGTTGGGATGTTGTGTGGCTCAGCCCGTTAGAACCCTGTACTTATGATCAGAAGGTCACCAGTTCAAATCCCAGGTCTAGCAGACTGATGCCACCAATAGGCCACAGGGCAAAACCCTTAACCCCCAGGTGTCCCTGGGGGCACTGTGCACTGGCTGACCTTCCACCATGACCCCCCCCCCCCCCAAGTCTTCTCTCACCTGTATGTATGCCTCTGTGTTTCATGGGGTACAAGATGGGTCAGCAAAAAGAATATTTCCCCATAAGGACCGATAAAGTACCATTATTCAATTCAGCTGATCACAGTCCAGGAAGTTTGAACAATGGGAGACTACAGCTAGAAGGAAAAAAACACTTACGTGAATGTGGACCTGGTCGTAGAAGTGAATCTCATTGTAGATACTTATGTCATCCTCTGTTTTGCAGCTGCCAGGACACAATAGTAAAACCACCTTGCTTCACAGAATGTAAACAGTGCAATTTAATTAATTCACCCTGACATTCACATTATTTATAGTATATTAAATCACTTGATATACAGTACCATTAAATAAAAACTGGGTCATGAGAAAAAAAAAACCCACCTTAAAATCATTTTGTCTTTCTGTATGTCCACCTGGAGGTCTCTGCAGTTTTGCACTATAAAATTTACTGTCACATACTTCTTTCGGTCAAACCACAGCACTCTAGCTGGTTGGCTGTAGAAAATGAGGAGAGTGAAACCACTGTAATCATTACGTCCCAGTGGATCATATAATGTCAACAATCTGAGATATATAAAGGTATTCAAATAACAGCAAATCATATTAACAAGTCTGCTCTCTGCAACTTAGCAACAATTTAAAAATACTGCAAAAAAACTTTTATTTTAGTTTACCAGTCATCAGGTCTCACAATCTTGGGCATCCTGAAGATATGAAGGAAAACTCCAATTGACAATATCCAAGTTAGATTAAGCTGTTCCAACTAGTCTTCTTGAACTTTATGCTACAAGCGATTTAGTAGTGGCAGGCAGTTCTATCTATGCTCTATTTTTAGAGATGGCCAGTATCAGCTGCTGGGTGACTTTACTCTAACCCCTCCCCCCCTTTATAGAGGTTCTGCAGATCCCAAAAGAAGCCCAGAGCACCTTCTGGAGTTTTCTCTACCAATCAGACTGGAGGCTGTAAGAGTGGAATGTGTAGGACTGCTGCTAATTGGCTGCCTCAGTTAGACCTCCAAGGAGCAAAGGAATGATATTAGGAACAGCTGTAGCGTAAGATTCTTTCAGTGCTAAGCACTTAACACACACACACACACAAACATATATATATATATATATATATATATATATATACATATATATATAGCATTTATATTTTGCATTCAGATTTTTGATTACTTGATTATTTTACAGTATATGAAATTCTACCCTTATCTCATGACTTTACTCATAAACATAATTTTTCACATGATATAAGCATGTCATTTTCATAGGAAAGTGCAGACTTTATGTTAAGAACATGCCAAACAACAAAACAAGTTTTTCTTCAAAGGAATTTTCCACACAGCGTTTAGATGTTGGATAGCTGCCAGAAGAGGCAACATTTTAGTTAGAGCAGACAGTTCGAAAAGACACTGGAAAAACTTGATTGAACTTCAGTCTCAAGAACACTATTCATTTTAGTTACTAGGAGGATTTAATTGTGATGGTCCGATTGGATTTTGTGGTTTGCCATGCACGTATATAAAGTTAGGAATGTCCTGTAATTATAAATAAATAGTAAAAAAAAGTCTTAAATTTTTTTTCTTTACAATGCAGACACATAAGAAGAATCACAAGCTACCAGCCTTGGGAGGAGGTGCTGTGGCTTAGTTGGTTAATGGAAAAAGCTCCAGTTTCTGAAGGCATCATTTTAAAAAGTCTATGTCAGTGTCTTCAAACGTATAATATAGTAAGTGTAATAGTTGGTATGTCACATGGTATTGAGCTTTGTAACAGATGTTTTGACATTGACAGAAGATGCATTATATGTTTTTAAGAAGGTACAGATCTGGCAAATAAACTACTGGTCATGGCTAGACAGAGAATAGAAGGCAGAATGGCCAGTAAGTCTCATACGAACTCCACAACAAGTGGAAGAGGTGCTTCCACTCAGGTAAGGCTGATGAGGTGGCATTTTCATGGACACTAGGGGTGGTGGCACGACAACCACCAAGTGGATGGTGAGAGGGGGCTTAATGGGTACCAGAGGGAGTCCAAAATACCAAAGTGCTGAGCCAAACTGGAACGAGTGAAACTCCCTGAGGCCTCGGAGTCCAACTAGACTCCTTCGTCTACTTCTCCCTGCAGCAGCACCACTTGTTGCTGAGTACCAATAGTTGGGGCGAACGCTCCTGCGAGAGAGGGAGACGGGAACTCCCGTGACTGTCAAATGGGGCAGGAACGAACATGGTGACTGGACCCCCACAGTAAAGGCGGAGCTGGAGCTCAATCCAACGCTGATGCTCAGCGGAGGGAAGTGGGATGCTGCTGATTTGCATTGGCTCTGGATCAGTTGAGCAAAGAGGTGGAGTTTGTGTGCTGCTTTGGCGTGAGTGAGAGAGTAGTGGCCATCCCTGACGAATGCTGGGTATACTCCTCGAACACGCAGGCTACTCTGCAACAAGCAATTTCAGCTTGGAGTTCCAGATTAAGTGCTCACTAGTAGAGGACCTGTAGGCAGTCCCGGGGCCTCCCCAACCCTGCCACCAGGGCACGAAAATCCAGGGTGAAGCTGGTGGCTGGTTGAGTTCCCTGTCACAGATCACAGATGCAGTCGACTCACCTTCGCCCGATGACAGGGTGACTGGACAATTCACGGAAATACCACCCTGGATCCAATGACCCGACCCCACCCCACCCAAAAAAAAGGATGAATCTGTGAGGGGTGTGAAGACAGCACCATAGGAGAGTGTTTCTAAAGTAGTCAGTCACGACACAAAAGTAAGTCGTAGTAGCCTGTGCTGTCCCATAGTTATCTGGCTAGTGTAGAATCTCTGCTCTGAGTACATAGGAAGGAAGTTCCTTCCTATGTAAATATTTTACTGCAGTATTTTTTGTCTTGTTTCCTTTTGCCCATAAGTGTGAATGGTGTGAGTGTACCCTGCGATGGGTTGGGGCCCCACCCTGGGTTGTTCCCTGCCTTGTGCCCATAGCCTCCGGAATAGGCCCAGACCCCCCCGTGACCCTGAATAAGATAAGTGGTTACAGAAAATGGATGGATGGATGCAAGGGCATTTCTGGCTCATGAAAAGATTGGGGATTATGTCGTTTGCTTGGGGCTTGTACTTTATTCTGAGACACATAAGTTATTATCAATATGCATATAATGTTCAAGGAAACTGAGGTATTTAGCCATTAACGATTAAATAGCACTACTACAATTTATCATCAGATTATCATTTAATCAAAAGAAGTAATTTCTCACATCACACCTTTAGGATCACGAAGACAAATTCTACGATACATAATTATATTACGACATCCAAAATCCCAGATGATATCCCATTTCACAAGATCTAAATGATCATCCCATCCTGGGACATTCCCTGTCTTGTACCTCTAGCTTTCAGAACAGGCTCTGGACCCCCACGACCCTGAACTGAACAAGCAGGTACAGAAAATGGATACTTGGACACAGGGCTGTGGAGTCGGTAGATAAATGCTCCGACTCCGACTCCTCGACTCCGACTCCACAGCCCTGCTTGGACATACTGTATTCAGTTCAACTTGATAGACATGCTCTCCTGTGGTCTGGAAGCATAACGACCCCTAAAACATTAATAACACCAGTTGCGAGCTAAAGAAATAATACAAATAAAGCGATGTACCTGTATACCAAGCTCATCTCAACCTGTATCCGGGGCATACTTTTTAAATGGCGCACCGGTCGACGCCAATCAGTGAATCTTACCGTCTCTATTTTTGCTCAAATTGGGGAGGAGATTTCAATACTGTGTTTAATGAAACTATTGATAGATGGCCTCCTAGGACTAGATCGAGCCCTTCTAGTAAATTGAATAATGTATGTTTGCGATTGGGTCTTACTGATGTGTGGCGGTGTAAGAACCCAGACAGGGAAGAATATACATGGAGTAATAAGGACTCATCTCTTCATTCTCGTATTGACTATTGGTTGGTGTCTAATGATTTAACTAATAATGTGACCTCTGTATTGATAGAACCTTGTATAATGACGGATCATAAAGGAGTATTTATAAAAATTAATATGGTACATGATAAATCAGTCAAAAAGCATAACGGTTATTGGAAATTAAACAACAAATTGCTTGAAAATGAAGGTTTAAAGGAAAACATTAAAGGCATTATTGAAAAGTATAGAAAAATTGCAGATTTAGAGAAATCATATGGAAGGTATTGGGAATTAATGAAGTTTGGTATTAGAACAGCATATATTAATCAAGGAAAATTGGAAACGAAAAATTAAAAAATTAAAGAAAAATCAATTATTAATGATATTTTAAATTTGTGTAAAAAAAAAAGGAAGATTTGGCTGTTTGTGAGTTACAAAAACTGGATTTATTGCAAATTGAATTAGATAAGGTTTATGAGGACAAAGCAAGAGGAGCATTTATTAGAACTAGACTTAAATGGTTAGAAAAAGGGGAAAAAAATACAAAATATTTTTTTGGCCTCGAAAAAAGAAACAGTGATTTTGCCTCAATCTCGAAATTAATGATTAACAACAAATTAGTAGATAACTCCTCAGTTATTTCAAAATATGTTGCTCAGTTTTTTAGTAATTTGTATTCTTCCATATCAGCTTCTTCTGACATTGACATTTTTTTAAATAGCTTGATGAGTGATGTCAAAAAAATTGATCAAAACTTTCAGAATGTTTGTGATAAAGAAATAGACATTGAACAGTTGAGAGAGTGCATTAACTTACTAAAGAATAACAAATCTCCAGGCAATGATGGGCTAACCGGCGATTTTTATAAGACTTTTGCCAAAGAACTTTCACCCTTTTTATTATTAGTATTTGTAGAAGCTATACAAAATGGTGAATTGCCTGTTTCATTAAAACAAGGGGTTATAACACTGATTCCCAAACCTAATAAAGACAAATTATTCATTGAAAATTGGAGGCCTATTAGTTTGCTAAATACGGACAGTAAACTATTTGCAATGATTTTTGCTAGAAGACTGAAGCAAGGTTTAGACAAAATAATTGATATAGAACAGTCTGGGTTTATGAATGGTCGTCATATCAAGAATAACATTAGATTAGTTTTAGATATGATTGATTATAATCACTTTATTGAGGATGATAGCTTTGTTTTATTTATTGATTTTTATAAAGCCTTTGATACAGTGATTCATGGTTTTATTTTCAAAGTTATTAAATTATTTGGTTTTGGAGATATGTTTTTGAAAGCAGTTAAAACATTGTATAGTGGGTGTAATAGTTCTGTTAAACTTGCTCATGGTACTTCACAAAGATTTGATATTCATCGTGGCATTAGGCAAGGATGCCCTAGCTCTCTCTCCCTTTTTATTTTTGTTAGTCACTCAAGTCTTAGCATTGCATATAAAAAGAAATCAATTTAATGGTATCACAGCTTTAGGTGTACAATTTAAACTTAGTCAGTTTGCGGATGACACTACAGTGTTTTTGAAAAACAAATTTGAAATACCGAAAATAATTAGATATATTGAGGAATTCACTGATGTATCAGGCCTTAAAATGAACTTAGATAAATCTGTATTATTTCCCCTTAAAGATTGCTCCTTTACAGAAATAGAGAATATTCCAGTTAAACATAAACTAACATACTTAGGTGTAATCATTTGTAAAAATGAAAAACAAAGAAGTCAGTTCAATTTTGAGCCAATTATTGAGAAAACTAAAAAGAAATTCAATTTGTGGTTATATGCGGGATCTCTCAATATTTGGAAGGGTATTATTGTCCAAGGCGGAAGGTATAT